TCTCCGCCGGTGAGTCCTGCGCCTCCGCGTCCGTCTCCGACGGCGCCTAAGGCTGGCTCGCACGCGAGCATGACGAGCTCGAGCGCCTCCCCGTGCACTTTGGCGACCGGATTCAACGGAAAGGGGCGGGGAAGAGCAGGGCGTGTGAGTCCTCACGCTCGAGGTAGGGTCGAAGGGGAGGGATCAGGTCGAGAGAGGGAGCTGATAAGTACGGAATGGGGAATGGGGAATGGCTGGGAGACAGGGGCAACAACTCGTGGGGCGGTGGGGAGGTAGGTGACGGGTTTGACACAGTGAGTATGGGCGTATGGGCGTTAGATCATCTCCCACCTATAGATCATTAGAGCAACTCCAACGGGCCGATCCAAACGGACGGCGCTTTTGTCCGCTTTTTGTCCGTTTGGGTCGGCGGCCCGCCCGTCGTCCGTCCTCTTTTAGATTTGGGTCGGCAGCGCGCCCAACGCGCCGGCCCATTTCATGACCGCGCGCGCGGGAAAGATTCGCGCGCGCAGGGGACTATCGGCCTAGCGCGCGCTGGCTTTGGCGCTCCAGAGCGTGGAAGTGTTTGCGCACGCATTTTGGCGCGCCACGGCCGGCTCTCGTTATAAAGATGACGCTTCCTCCACACTCAGTCTGCCACCGCCGCCCACTCGTCTCGCCCCCTCTCACTAGCCTCTCCACCTCGCCGCCTGTGCGCCACCATGTCGATGCGCATCCTCGACGCTTCGGATTTTTGCGGAGTCCGCGAGCGCCCCTCCGTCGCCTTCTCCGCCGAGATCTTGTTTGGCGAGAAACAGCTCATCCTCGGCACCTTCGACACCGCTGAGCAGGCGGCCCACGCGTACGACGCGGCGGCGTGGCGCCTCCGACGGCTGAGACTGGAGATGAATTTTCCTGACGTGTCGAGCCAGCGGGCGCAGGATCTGGTGCCTCTCCCGCGGCTTTTCACCGACGAGGATCGTCGCGTCCACCGGAGGCGGATGCGTCGCCTCGCCCTCGCCGAGATGGACGTGCAAGCCTTGGTGTTGTGGCGCGAATGCTTCCCGCAGGACATCGTCGATGAACATCAGTTCTATGAGCAGAGGAGGACGGAGAGGAAGGCCAGGAGGACGGAGCGAGCCGCCTATCGGGAGGGCAAGCGTGCGCGGAATCTGACCGCTCAAATGAGACTGAGGCTGGGAGAAACATCGGGGTGGGACTTCGCCGATGAGCATGTTGCTGATGCCTATATTCAGACGTCGAAGGAGGACATTACCGAGTCAGAGTCGGAAAGCGGCGAGTAGTTGATCTTTTCTTTTATCTGTGTACGCAAGAACTATCTATGTATCCTTTTTCATCGGAAAAAATGGCCGGTGGCGTCGGCCACGAAGCCGGCGGTGAAGGTTGTGCACGCGCAGGGAGGAGAGAGGGCGCGCGCGCGTCCGTCTTGTGTCCGCGCCGACGCAAATCCGGCTCAAAAATGGGCCAGGAATGGGTCGGCAGGCGGACGAAAGCGGACGCGCGTCCGTTTGGGTCAGCGCATTGGGTCGGCGCGTTGGGCCGTCTTTTCTGTCCGCGCCGACCCAAACGGACGCGGGCGAACGAAATGAGTCGCCCCATTGGAGTTGCTCTTAAAGTCATCCAACATGGTCTTGTATCGGTCCATGTGGCGGTTCGAACATCATTTCTCCCGAAAATCAAGACAAATGCCAGGGGCTTTGCCAGAGTCCGAATCGATCCCAAGCCCGCTTCTGACCGTCCTGCCCCACCAAAATTTCTCCTCCCTCTCTCGCGCGCGTTCCCGCCCGGCGCTAGCTACCCGCATTCCTGCCCATGTAGAGCGTGCAGCTCAACATTGAAAACAACTCAGGGTGGATGCAACCTCTCACTACCTCCGCCAATGAAGTGGTGCGGCGGCCGAGGGCGCCGCCTGCGACGCGTCTCCAGTGTCCGCGCCTATTCATTGCCGGAGACACGTGACTGGGCGGGACGGGACAGATAGGTACCACGTCCATTCAATGTCGTTGTTCGTCCATATGCCTGCATTAACTATGCTCGCTGCCCAAGAAACTCACTCCGACGCCTCGCATTGGTGCACCCCGATGCCTTGCCTCACCGAAATCCTGTATATAAAGGCAGAAACACCCGGCTAACTCCACACCACCAGACAAGCCCCTCCTCATCCTCCTTCCTTGCACTGCATTCGCCATGACTGCAGGCAGCCAAACTCTATGGGAGAGCCTTTCCACGAAGATGAAGCACGCTGTGGCTGCCCTTGCCACCGCCGGGCATCGCCACCGTGCCAGGCGGATCGAGGCCAGCTTGCCGGCCAGCTCGCATGACGTCTCCAATGACGAGGACGAGGCCATGATGGAGACGGGCTCCGACGACACCGCCCTGGCTCCCCCGCCTCCTGTGCACACTGACTTCACCATGGAGCAGGCACAGACGCACTAAAACACCGCCATGCCGGAGGTGCAGCCTGCGTCGGCACCTTTGTCGAAGTTCCAACAGGCACATGAGGAACAACGGTACAACATGTTCCTCCTGGAGCAGGACCGGTTAGCGGAGGGCCAAATCTACGACGAGTGGGCGAGCGAGGAGGCTGTGTATACATGTTGCACATGATTTTTTTTATGGAGTACTTCACGGGGATTTTTTATCCAACACTTCTAAACAGGTATATTTGGTATGTATCTTCACAATTATTATGGTGTATTGTTATTTGAAAAGTAATTGTGTGTACATGTTGCACATGAATTTTTTTATAACATTGTTGTATAATGCATATGTAGGATGACAATGAACCAAGGAGACGATTTTTGATACATATTTTGAAGTATGTAGGAAATTAAGCTCTAAACAATATCCCGTCTGTGGAACAAAGAACAAAGCATTATAGATCACATAAATAGATTGAACTTTAAGAGAGAACCATCAAAGAATTAATTGTAGAGGATGTTGCTTAGTTACTGTTTCTTAAGTATTTTTATAACTAATTATAATATGTTTATGTGATAGTGAATTTTATGTGCAGATCGGGTGTTACACGCGCTCACATCATTGCGCATGAGACATATTTAAGTGGTACGGTAAAGAAAAACATGCTAAAAAAATCAATAGAATTTAAAATTAATGTTCTACTGTGAATTCTAAGACGTGCGTTGCACGTACACGCTTACTAGTGCACCAAACTGACCGTCGCCCGCAAGTTCTGTGACTTGTGGTGTATTTACCTCTTTCTTTTTCTTCCATTTTTTTTGTGTGACAACAGCGGAAAGATCAGGCAACAGCCGAAGAATCAGGCCTCAGGCCAACAGCCGAGTCCCAAAGGCAGCACCCCAGGCCAAAAACGAAGCAGACCAACTGCGGCGACTAGATTCAATCCAGCAGACGAACAGCCGAGGCGGAGCAGTTGACCTCCGATAGCTGGTGCCTCTGCTTGATCTGGAGAGCTCTCGATCTGGAGCGGATGGATGCCCGGACACGAAACAACAGCAGCTATGAACGCATGCGCGACCACTCGAGCGCCCGCGGACAGCAGCGGAAGGCAGCAGCGGCGCGGAGGAGGCCGGCGGCCGACGGCGTCGCGGAAGGCAGAAGGGGCGCGGACCAGGCCGGCGGCCGGCAGCCGCGGAGGAAGACAAACGGCCGGCGCCGACCTTGGAAGAATACAAGCGGCCAGCGGCTCGATCGGGACACACTCTGATAGGATCCAACACAACGATGGATCAGCTAATTGGACGTCAAGCGCGTGTAGCTGGAGATGGACAACGCAAAAGCAAAATCACGGCCGGCAGGAAAGAGAGCAACGGCGGCTGTGTAGGAGATTGGATCGGGAGTAGCACGAGTTGCGACGTGCGAAAAAAATACCTAGAGTTCTAATACCTAGAGACGGAAGCAACTTAATATTATTAAGAGGTCAAAGGCAACATATATACAAATACATGAGGATGCCAAGAGGCTAGAACGCAAAAGACTAAAAGTCATCACTAATATAACTCTAACAGCCCATTCTTCAGTGTTTAAATTGTGTAGTTTTAGACATGAATTTAGGAGCTCCAACTATGAAACTCACAACTTAGCGAGGCATGCTTTATCTCTCGGTGGTGACCGCGGTGTCTGGTTAGGCCATCCCGGAAACTTACCTTCCGTCTCTATAAACATTGTGATGAATTAATAAAGCCTCGTAACGTTGTCTCAAAAAAAAATTACCTCCTCGCTTCATTTCCAATCTTCGCATGTTCCTCGACTCGATCAGATCTTTGCGGCGGCACAATAGCAAGGACAGGGCAGGTGGCCGCGCCATGAGTTGAATCAAAATTCAGCAACAGCCAAGCCAGCAAGGGCCAACATGCCGCAAAGCAGAGCAAAAGGCAGCCGCTATGATCAGGAGCTTTAATTTAGGCATCTCCAGCCAGTCAATGGCCATCAGGTGCGCAAGCAAAAGCAAATTTACTTTAGGATACATTCCATGTTCAGTAATTTAGTGAGTATAGGGTACATATACACCAATTCTTTGGCTAATTAATAGAACCTCTGTAACTTAGTCTTATAAATACTGAACATGGAGTACAGAGGAAGTAGATCTTTATATGTCAATTGCTCTAGGGTCGAATTGTTTGATGAAGATAGTTGCCCTTGTCTTTAGGAATATAGTACAAATAACACATAATCAAAATTATATAATTTAAGTGGGAGAGTATGCTTTCGTTGTAAGGAACTCTTAGATTTTAGGGCCCCAATTGAATTTCGCACCGGGGCACCGAATTTCTGGAGACGGCCCTGCTCTTTGTGGTGGGAAAAAAAATCTTGTTGCAGCTTCTTTTCATATTTGAATTGGATAAAACACAACTTTGTAAATCATTATACTACAGTCTTTCGCAGACATATCACTGAATCATTCAGAATGTGCGGAAATACAGACGTGCTCTGTTTGCACACAAAAAGGAAGCATTGCTGCTCATTCGGTCGAACCCGGGTCCATGGAACTTCCACTGTTACAACTTACTACTACAAGTTTACAACTTTAGATCTGCTGATGTGGTGAGCTCTGCTAGCAAGGCGTCGGCGTGCTCTGGCCTGACGCAGAGCGACATGACGCTAACCCCGTCCTTGTCACCGTCCTTGCCCGGCGGGCACACGACGCAGCCCGGCACCACCGTCTCCTCCCCATGCCAGGTCACCCGCGCCGGCCTCCCGCCGCCGAAGTCCGTCGACTCGAACCCCAGGTTCCTCCAGCACGACAGCACCAGCGTGTGGTACGGTAGCGCCATCGCCCCCTGTTCCGTTGTTGTGCCGCTGGGGACAAGCAGATCCGGGATCCTCTCCTTCGCGCGCCGGATCATCCTCGCCACATCCACGACGGCGCCATTCGCCACCTGGCCGCGCGTTGAGGTCACGGACTGCACCACCGCGCAGTTGCCATAGTACCCGGGCCTGGCGCCGACGAGCCGACGCACGTTGGCTGCGAACGACAGCGCCACGGGGGCCTCGTCGGACACGTAGACGACGGCCGCGCGGGTCCGGCACTGCCACAGCACTGCCGAGACGGCCTCGAATACCGTGCAGGGTTGCTTCCCGCCGTCAAGGCCCGCGGCGTCGAAGTCGGCTCTGACGCGGCCGATCAGCCCAGCGGGGACGGTGAAGTCGAGGAGCGCGAAGTCCCTGTTGAACACGCAGCTGAGTGCCTGCTTCTGCGCCGCGACCAATGACTGGGGGAGGCGCGGGAGCGAGTCGTCGTCGGCCCGGAGCGGCCGGACGGACGGCGCTGGCGACGCCCCGCGCGCGAGCTCGCCGACGGCCCCCAGGAACTGCGCCATGCCCTCTCCGTCGGTCAGCACGTGGTTCCACGTCGCCGCGACGGCGAAACCACCGCAGGCGAACTCGGTGACCTGCACCAGGACCAGCGGGTCGGCATGGCGGCAGAGCCCGCCCGGGTACCACACGGCGAGGCTGCCGAGCAGCGGCGCCGCAACGTCCGCCAGCGCGCAGCGCGCCGACGCGGCGACAAAAGGCACGCCGGCCGCACCCTCGATGCGCAGGAGATCGCCATCGCCGTCGGCGTCGGCAGCGAGACGGCCGGCGACGGGGCGGTAGTGGGCCAGCGCCTCATAGAGTGCCGTCCTGATGGTCTCCGCCGGCTCGGGGATCGACCGGTCGAAGAGGAGCAGCGCCGTGACCCTGAAAGGGACGGCGGACCTGTCGAAGGAAGAGGTGAGATGGACGGTGGCGTCGTCCCCGCCTGGCGGGCCGACGACCAGCACCGGCGACGACTTGGTCACCACCGCGGCGCTCATCGTTGGATACCGCAGAGATGGATGGATCGCCGAGCTGAAGTTGCCGGCCGGTGACGGAGCTGTATATAAGCCCTTCCTTGTTGCATGTGGGATGTGGCGCCAAAGTGCAGCGCTAGCTTGTGAGAAAGAGAATCCTAGTGCTGTGATATGTGTCAACTTGTAAGATTCGCCTGCCTCTACACGACTACACGTCTACAACAGCGACTGCATGCTTACTAAAGTGGTCAAGTTGGGCGCAGCTAACGATGCTAACATGTTCCTGGGTGGAACTGGTCCAAAATTCCTCCATGTACTATTGGCGTCGTCAACTCAAGTTTTGATAGCAAATACCTCGAGGAGTTTGGCGTTTTAGGCTGGTTACAGTGGGGAGTAACTTAGACTAGTGTCATATGCATGATACTAGTCTAAGTTACTATCTTCATAATGTAAAGTAACATAATAGTAGTGTCATAGATGGCTTCATTTATTAGCTTGTAGACTCATCTTGTCTTGAAAAGCGTTGTCACAGTAACATATTATGTTACCACCTCACATTAAATACTTGCCACATAAACAAAAAATTTTTGGAGTACGCTATGTTACTAGCTAAGTTACTCCCACTACGACAAGCCTTAGCTCTCGATCGGGTGACAAGTAGACCGTTATCGAGGTCGTTGGGCTGTCGTGGGGATTCGGGCGGGCGGGGCTGGACGGTGGATGTATAGAGCTGTTCACCACTGTGTTCATTGTATAAACAAGCAGTGTGGCCCGCACATTTGCGCGGCTAGCTTCGTTGTGTATGGTAAACGGGTTTAGTAACCTCACATCTGAGCTTAGAATTGTTGGATCTTATTTGTCTTTAAATTTCGTGCTAACTTGATCTTAGAGCATCTCCAACAGGCACGCGATATTAGCGCCGCGTGCGCTCGGCATAAGTGGTTCAGCGCGCGGAGCAAAACGACATCGTGCGCCGCTTATTTCATGCGCCCGCTCCCACGCACTGCACACTCGAGCGCCCGCGCCGCGACTTTCACCTATCTCCATATCCAAGCGCTGGCGCCGCCGCCGCACCTGCCCATTTTCTCCGGCCACTAGTAGAAAAAGGGCCATTTGTCCCGGTTCGTAAGGCCCATCTGTCCCGGTTGTGGATCCGGGACTAAAGGGTCGTCACTAAAGCCCTAGGCCTTAAGTCCCGATTCTTACATAAACCGGGAAAGATGGGCCTCCACGTGGCCGCTGCGGCGAGCCCAGGCAGGAGGGCCTTTGGTCCCGGTTGGTGGCATCAACCGGGACCAAAAGGCATCCACGTGTCAGCAGCTGGCAGGAGCTGAGGTTTTTTTCTTGAAAGGGGGTGGTTTAGGGGTTTTGGGGGTTAATTTAGGTTGTTAGCTAGCTAATAGAGAGAAGTATTCTCTCTTATCTCTGTGCTTGGTTTACCAACCTACTGTTATGCCTAAACATGGCTTAGATTGAAGTGAAGGCAACATGTGGTGCATGTTGAAAGTAATACTAATCCTAACTTGATCAAGTTTGGATTGTACTACTTTCAACATGCACCACATGCATGTTGCCTTCACTTCAATCCAATCAATGTTCATTTCACCCACTGACATATAATAACTCTTCATGCTCGCATCATGCATCATCATAATAACAAGTCCTACTAATAATCATCATACAAATTCTACTCGTTATTAATAACAAGTCGTACGATCATCATCCTCATAGTCATCGAACCAACCCTACTTAATTGTTCTTAGCACATGATCATCAGTATTAGGTAGGACCTAAACACCCTCTTTAAGGTAAAATAGCATAAAACAATATAGACCCCAACTCTCCATTATGGAGAATTGAGATCATCCTGTCTCCAATTCTTGTGCTTCGCTTCCTTTTGCTTCCAAGAACCTTCTTACGACTGTCCATACATTTTTCCATTCTTTGATTGTCATGTCTCCACTTCTTTTAGAAATCCGGTATGGACAGTTGAGATTCGTAGGATGACCTGACTGTATGTTCAAAACATCAAGGCGACCATGCTGATACATCAGATGAGGCACACAATCATTCGGGATTATCTGTTGAAAAACATAGTAATAACTTCGTAGTTAGCGATGATGTACTAGTTTTAGAAGTATGAAAAAGATGCACGGATGTAATAGTAAAAAATCTTACCAGGGTATCTCCATGGTAGTTACTGTAGTTCAACACGTGCACTAATGGCACGTATTGACCATAATGTTGAGGAGTTCGGTTGTAGATATTGTAATTCACAAGATTAGTACAAAATGCGATCAGATGATTTTTTTTTCCTGATAAATTAATTCGGAGCCATCGTTGTAGTGGGTTTTGTATACCATCTTCCGCACATTCTTTGAAGAATGAAAATAAGTTGTCAATGGAAAAAAGCTGTCAACTATTTCGAAATAAACAATATAAATTACTTAATAACTAAGTTTGAGAAGCTCACATAGGAGAAGAATTGGAAGCGTATTAACAAGGATCCAAATGTCCAAATTATCTTCGGCGGTGTCAGGATCACCAAGATCCATGGTGACAAGCATACCCTCATAAAAATAATACATCTCGCAAAGTGCTTCCCAATTCTTGCAACCAAAATGGGTTACGCTCTTAGAATTGTACAGATTTACTTCAAAATCCATATCATGATGGGTCCTTAGGTGAATTTTCTTTGTTTCCATACTTTCATGGTCTTCAAAACCCATCCTCTCCAAGACATAGCGTCTTGCACAGCATGGGATAAGCTAGTCGGATTGTAAAAGATGAAAAGTACACGTTGAAATAGTTGAAGTCGTGCTTAATTACGAAAAAAACACTTGTCGTCGTTGCATACCGTTTCAACATCGAAGGTCTCCTCTAGCTTAATGCTGAAGCGCCGATCTTCGTCCAGCTGAAGAAACCTGTCGCACATACCTCGGTCGTCGTGGCACCAGTCGTACTCCCCCGGGCGGTTTTCGTCGTCCGAGTACGACATTTCTTATGTTCATAATTCAAATATTAAACTTATACAATTAAATATATGTACTAAAAACATAAATTAGATCATTATTATTCATTACTGGTTGATAATCGGTCTGTCGAGTCTTTTCTTGAAAACTCTCAGCTCACGTGGTGTACATATTCGATCGTCGGTGATGGTAGCTCCTCTTTTCATTCCCGAGTGCATTACACCAAATTGTCTAGCACATGGGAATGAAGGAGAAGCTACCCCCATGACAACAGTCAGGATTCTTCGTCCTCTCATATATATATGCTGGAGACTCTCCCTCACTGATTCCTCTCTGAGATTTGCGACCGTCGGTGATGGTAGGTCCTCCTTTCGTTGCCGAGTGCATTACACCAAATTGTCTAGAACACGGGAACGAAGGAGAAGCTATCCCCACGACAACAGTCAGAATTCTTCATCCTCTCATATATGGTGGAGACTCGACAGACTTAAAGTCAACCCGAAATATCTTCTAATTATCTTTCTAAAAAAGGACATATCGAGCGCCTGAAATTTGCCGGAACGGAAATATACATGTTTTTATCTACTTCATATGAGCATTCAAACATGAGGCCATTACATTTCAATGGTTGAAAATATGAGAAAAAACATTTCAAAATATCTTATAGGACTCATATTGACATGGAGATTTGACTAGTCTCACCTCGAGGTCGGAGGGGGGGTCGGTGACGGGGACGACGGCGGGGATGATGGAGGGGGCTCCTAAATTTCTGCAAAAACAAAAACCCTATAAGCTACCAGTTACTAATCAAATGCATACGCCTTGCATAGTGCTCTCCAATTTTAGCAAAAACATATCGTAAAATAAAGCAGTATTCAAATTAGCATGCATTCAATTATAAGCAAAACTACATCATCTCTTGCGTCCGTACATCGTCGAATATTATCACTAATACATCTCGAATACTATCATACATATAGCATCGCTAATACAGCTAGAACGGTAGCGCCCGACGGGTATCGACACGGGCGGTGGACACCCAAAGAGAAGGAACCATCACAGGATCATAGCTCCAGTGAGATCCCTGAAGAACCTGCCAGGTATTGTCGAACCTGCCCTCCAACACAACCATGTAGCGACGGACGTGCTCGTCCTCCTTGCTGACTCGGTGACGTACCGCCTCTGCTGTGTCCGGAAGCCTCGACACCGTCACTGGCCCACGCGACCGCCACCAAACAAGGATCGGGTCAACGACGGACTGGCTCCTCACCAACCTACACCCCCCGGAAGATGGCACCTCCCAATACCAACAGGGCGGAGCCAATCTCGGACATGGCCCCTCTGATCAAGCAGACCTCCTCCGCCAAGTCGACGACGAGGATGCGGGATAGGCATCGTCGACGCCGATGCGAGAATAAGAACTAAAAAAATAAACTAGTTCTATTAATTTTCTTTGCTAAGAATAAACTACTTCTATAGAAAAATAAAGTAGTTTTATTAAATCAACTAGTTCAACTACTAAGTACTTACTATAAATAAAATAAAGTAGTACTTACTAAAAATAAACTACTTCTATAATAAAATAAAGTAGTTTTATTAAATCAAATAGTTCAACTACTAAGCACTTACTATAAATAAAATAGAGTAGTACTTACTAAAAATAAACTACTTCTATATTAAAATAAAGTATTTTTATTAAATCAACTAGTTCAACTACTAAACACTTACTAATAACCTAAAATGCACTAAATCAACTAACCTTAAATGTAACTTTTGCAACACAATTTTTTTCTAAATATGCACACACACACA